AAAACATCCTTTTGAATTTTAAATTTGAAACCTTATTTTTGCAGTGAAAACTACTTCATATTATTTTCTTACACTTTCACACTATTATTTCGAGGATCTTGAATTCTTTTAGTTAAAAATTTGAAAACAACATTTTTTAAAATATTCTCCTCAAACCTCAAATAACCTTTGGTTTACGATCTTAAAACAAATTTTGTATTTCTGTTTTATTTTGAATCAAAGTTTTCGATGTTTTCTTTTCTAACAAATTGATCAATAGAGATGAGTCTTGAAACAAAGTAATTTTATTAAAAATCTAGACATTTTGTATTGAATATTCTAATTTTGATGGTTTATTAGAAAAATTTTTCTCTGTTTTTTTTTATGCAAATATTTTTTATGTTGTAGCTTTTAGATATGCAGAGTTAAATAACATCTAAAYTATATCCATTGTAAAATTTTGAGAAAATTTGGCTGTTCCATAATTTTTTTTGATATTGTTAAAAATGTGCACAATTTATATTTTTTATTTGAATTCTTTTAGTACCAATTTTTTTCAAGAAAAACTTTTATGCTATTTTATTATTATTAAAAAAGTTTCGCCAAGTTATTTATTTGTTTGAAATAAAGTAATCTAGATTTTATTTGTAAATTAAGATTGTCTATTATTTTCAAAAAAAATATTAAAAACATCCTTTTGAATCTTAAATTTGAAACCTTATTTTTGCTCTGAAAACTACTTTATATTATTTTTATATACCTTTCACAATCTTGAATTCTTTTATTTATAAATTTGAAAACAAAATTTTTTAAAATATCCTCAAATAACCTTTGATTTCCGATTTAAAACAAATTTTGTATTTCTGTTTTATTTTGACTCAAAGTTTTCGATTTTTTCTTTTCTAACAAATTGATCAATAGAGATGAGTCTTGAAACAAATTAATTGTATTAAATATCTAGAAATGTTGTATTAAATATTCAAATTTTGATGGTTTATTACACAAATTTTTCTCTAGTTTTAATTTTTTTTATGCTGACATTTTTTATGTTGTAGCTTTTAGATATGTTAAATAACATCCAAAATTAATCCGTTGTAAAATTTTGAGAAAATCCACAAAAATGTCTGTTTCATAAATTTTTTTGATATTTTTAAAAATGTGCATAATTTATATTTTTTCATTTGAATTTTTTTATTACCAAGAATTGTTTTCAAGAAAAACTTTTATGCTTTTTATTACATATTATTAAAAAAGTTTCGCCGAGTTATTTATTTGTTTGAAATATTTTTTCCCTATTGAAAGTTTGAAATAAAGTAATCTAGATTTTTTTTTGAAAATTAAGATTGTTGTCTAGTATTTTCAAACAAAAGTGATGAGAGTGTTTATTAACACATTCCCTGAATTGAATTTAAATAAAAAAAACTAATGTTTTTTCAAGGAGGAACAATTGACTCTTTCCAGTATTTGGCATTGGCGTCGTCAGTATTTCCCATTGTTTTCGTTTTGGGTTTTGCTTTGATGCCCGAAACCCCGGCTTTTTTGTACGCCACTGGCCGGACCAACGCAGCTCGTAAATCACTAATTTTCTTCCGAGGACGCGATTACAATCTCCTCGACGAAGAATTACAGAAAATCGCAGAAGATATTAAAGAATCGACAGCAAATAAGTCGAAATTATCGGATCTTTTCCGATGTAGAGTAACTTTGAAAGGACTTGTGGTGTCTTTAGGATTGATGGCTTTTCAACAATTGAGTGGAGTCAATGCAGTGCTTTTTTATGCTGGAAATATTTTCGCCGAAACGGGAAATTCCATGTCGGCTGATACGTGTGCGATTCTAGTCGGCGCTGTTCAGGTGAGGGAAAAAACATTTTTCACATTCCATCAAAACGAAACTAATTAAGATTTTTTGCCATTTGCAGTCGATTTTTCACTCATCAATCATCTCATTTTGCATTTTTTTGAAAAACAACATCACAAGTTTTTTGCTTAAAAAATATAATGTGTTAAACAAATTCACTGGAAAAATACCTCAATTTTATCCTTACATTTTTATGTTTTACAACAGTTTTTTATTAAATTTTGCTCGACGGTAAGTAATTTAGATACATTTACAAATAATTAAAAAAGTTAAGATGGTTTTAACAAAGATGTAAATGATTCATTTTTATTTTGCATTTGATATGTGAATAAACATTTTTTTTTTAGCTAGGGCTCATTCTAGGGAATGAGTTAATTTTGTCTTTCATTCACTAAGACGTAAAAAATGTCTAGACTAAAATTGCTAAGAAAGTTTTTTCTTAAAAGTAATTGCTCTGAAAATTTAAAACCGAGAGAAAATTATTTAATAAAGAAAAATAAAAAATGGTCTCTCTTTACGTAGCAATAAATGTAAAATCTGTCAAATATTTTTATTTTTAAGAGAAATTTGATATCTGCTAATATTTAAGAGTGAGAGTTAAAAAAACATTTTTTCACAATTTGTTATGAAAAAATCTAATATTTTATTACACACCGTGATTTTAAAAGTTGTGTAGAAATTTGCGAAGAGCCGTTAACTTAAAAAAAATGTTACAACTATTTCCGATTCCAAAAAAATTCCACCAAAACTTTACTAATTCCTCTAATCTAATGTAATTCCATTGTTTTCAGATTAATTCCTACAATTCCAAACTTATTCTTGTTTCTACCTTAATTTCCAAAATAATTTCGACAGTTCTAAGAATTCAGTCATTTTTAATTCCAAAAAAAGTTTCAGGAATTCACACATAATTCCAGTAATTCTAAACAAACTAAAGATAATTTTAACAATTGTAAACAGTCCAAATAATTCCAAGCAATTTCCATTAGATTTCAAACTAATTCCAAAGTTGACGTCCCTTCAAATAGGTCAAAATAAATTCAAGGGGTGCAACCCCATTTTAACATCAATAAATTTGTCGAAAAAATGCAATATTAGCAAAAAAAGTTTCTAATAAAAACTTGATTTACGAAAAAAAAGATAATAATTTGCAAATTTTCTGTTTTCATTAAAAATATTTCACGTTTTGTTTGTGGCTTATTTAGAAATTTGACTCGAAATAAATTTTAAATTCTGTCAACTTAGTGTATTTGCTTAATATATTTTTGTTTCAATTACTTCATTTTAAAACTTTTTTCTAATACCAAAATATCGGTGGAGAAAAAACGTGTTTTAGAGAAAAAGGAAAAGAATATACAATCAAAACAAAAACATAGTTTTTTACTTTTACTTACCTATCATTTAAAAAACCTACATTTAAATTACGTTTAACGTTTAACGAATAGTTTCCTCAGATTAAAAATCCTTATTTATAAAATTGTTATTTATGTAATTTACAAACTTGAAACAAAGATTCTGTTTCATTTCTAAAGAATATCACGAATTAAAATTTTTTCATACTGATATTTTTTGTGTTGTTGCTTCTAGATATGCAGAGTTAAATAACATCCAAAACATATCCATTGTGAGAAATTTAGAGAAAATCTACCAAAAACATTACTGGTTTCAATTAAATTTTTTGAAATTTTTATAAATGTGAATAATTTATATCTTTCTTATTTGAATTCTTTTATTACCAATTTTTT